AGTCCAGATGATACGCCCCGCCACATTCGCAAGCACTTTACTGCGTATGGGCCAATTTGTATAATCTAAGCCAAGTAACTAAACTCAGGTACTAGGATGACACTGAACAGAGACGAGAGGTCGCAGAAATTAATCGCACCGTCTTTTAGATATGCAGAAACACTGGGATTCGGACGCAGTAACTATTGTGTTCATTTGAAAAAAACATACAAGCGAATTATTAAAAGTTTAGAAATGCGCAAACTAAGAATAGCATTTTACCGAAATGTTAACTAATGGTGCAACAACGGCACTTGCTTTCTCGTATAATCTGTACAGGTAACGTAATATTATACTGCAATTCGTATCCTACTAAGCTATTCTTCGGTAATCTTTTGAAAAATTCTTCAAAAGCGCGGGGACTGTCAATTAGCGATTTTCAATACTGGACTTCAATTAAAAAGATTTTAAAGAAAATAAGACATTCCAAGTGTACTTTGCACTACCAAGGAAGTTTGCTCCGATTTTGAGAAAATTCCAAGATATAATTGGAATTATGAAACTCAAAACTACTACTAGGAAACTAGAATTTTTGAAATTTTGTCCGTGACATTATTTTGAAGAAAAAATAGTTGAAGAAATAATAGCGTTAAAAAAGCCGAACTTTAGCAGTCCTCGAAAATTTTGTGAGCTCAAAAAGATCTATACCATATTCTCGTAAGTTTACCTTGCTCTACTCAAGTAAAATAATTAGAGAAAAACATTGACATCATACACAAAACTGAAAATTTTCTAGGAGCTTCTTGTAAAGTACCCCAAAAATCAAAAATAACTGTTTCAAATTCCTCCAGGCTAGATATCGTTTACATCTGTACTCCACGGAATATTAAGTTAAGGGGAATATTGTGCACAGTTAACACATTGATGTCGTTCACACCAAAAAGACTCAGGCGTTTCAAAAAACACTTGGTCTTCTGATTCAGACATGGTAACTTTCACTATACTACACTTGAGAAAGGTTATAAAATGAAATGTGTTATGAAATATTGTGCCTGAAGAATTTTAAACAAAATGAAATACATTAAGCAACAATACATCTTCATTATCTATGATTATAATTCTCCATTAATGTTCAGTCCAGACATTTCCCGCATCTCCTGTTAGAAACGTAGGGCACTTTCAAGCACACTAAGGGTGGTGGCCGCCGTCAGACTCCACTGGCTGCAGAACGTGCGCCTCGGGAGAGCGCGAATGCTGGGTCAGCGCGCTCGCCAGCTGAGCCCAAACGAATGTTGCTGAGCGCGCAGCCATCGTCCATGGAGTAAAGCTAGGCTCGCTCACGCACGCAGACAAGGTAGGCAGGCAGGCAGGCAGGCAGGGAGATAGACAAGGGAGGCAGACAAGGTAGACAGGCGGTAGATATGCGAGCACGCCCGATGTAGTGAAACGTACTTTCGTCTCCGAGAGCTGCGCCAGCGGGCAGGCGGATGCTCGCCTTCCCCTACGCCTAGTCTAGTCTACCGGGTGGGAAACTATTCTCACCTTGCCGGATTACTAGTGACAGTCCGGCGCTGAGTTGGGCAGCCGGCAACAAGGAGCAGGAAAGGCACGGAAAGTGCGCGAGAAACTCCTTTCGCCGCCGGATATGAAGCGTACTGAAACGCGCTGATGAGCGCAGTCGAGGCCGCAACCATTGTAACGCACGAAACATTATACCAGGAACGCGTCACAGCAGAACGCCGGATCTTGGGATCGTGCGTGACGGACCATCCACTCCTCCCCGTACCAGACAAGTTATAAGTACATAGCTGTGGTAGTACGCAAGAAAGACAAAATGCCCGTATTAGCTATATAACTATAAAATTGCGGATGTGCGAACAGAAACAAATCGAAACACACATGACACTCATTATAAACGATGTACATTTTGCATACAGAATTTTCCACGAAACGTTTCAACGCGACAGCTATGTATAACCGATTGCAAAATATTCCAATACACACCAACTTCATCTAAAGTACCCGTAGTAATTCTTTTACGTAACAGATACTTCAGTACTCTACTGTGATAATTTTCGAGGAACAGGAATCTGCAACGGGACACCCAATCTTCAGGGAATGTGATAACAAGCAACATTAACAAAAGAAACTGGACAGATTGTATTGTAAAGGAAATGCAATACCATGGATTACCACAAGATATCTGCTACCACCATGGAATTTATTCGACAGGTTTAATTACTGTTTCGTCGAACATTTTTCTCGTAAGACGTGAATGGTATACGTATATACTCATTCGTACCCTGCCGGAATACGTGAGAGACCGTCTTCGTAATATATTATATATAGAGACTTATTTACAGCATTTTATAAACATGTCATGATTTTTGAAGAAAAAAAAACACGTGATAACACATGTTAGGTATTTATTTTTAATTTTATATTTTATTTTCCTTATGATAGTATCATTATGAACATAATTGCAATAAATGTAAATTTAAATTATAACTCATTAGCATCTTCTTGAATATTCCCTTCAAAACTAGCAAACCAAAAAATCAATCTTAACTTGCAGTGAAGAACTATCATGTAAAAAGTGAAGAACTATCATGTAAAATGTCCCAAAAAAGTACTGTAAAGATCTTCCGATTGTTTCTAAACACACTTGTATCGAGAAAAGTTTCGTTCAACGCAAAGATGGTGCATACTTTAACAAGATACCACTGCTCTTGCCCCCAATGTAATTCTCCAGATAATTCTTCTTCTAGGAGATTTGAAATTATGTTTTTAATTTTTGGGTAGTATCATTGCATTGCATTTTCGAGAGCTTTGATGATAACTCTTCACCTACAGTCCCCGATTCTTCCTTCCTTGAAACTGATTTAATGATATTCATTATACTAACTTATAAATCACGCACATACTACTTTGACCATAATATTGGGAAATCCAAGTTAAATGTCGCTTCCAAGCCACCGTAAAATTCCGCTCACACAAATAAAGAAAAAAACTTCATAACAAAATCTTTCTCGATACTTACAATTTAGCTCTTTTAGGATCATTACCCAGTTTCCCCGATTTTACAATCCATTTGGTAAGAAATTATTGAAATAGATAATTTTTGTATGACGTTACGAAGTGAGGAATAAACTAGGTTAAAACTTAAGAATCAGAGCTAAAGAAAAAAAATAATATGGAAATTAGTATTATATATTTATCTCCACATAGCAGTTAAAAAACTGCGTGACGTAGGGGGGGGGTAGAAGTGTAATCTCCACGTGCGTGTGAACGAAAGGAGAGAGAGAAATGGGAAGGGGAAAAGGGAGTGATGTAACATCGTCTCATTACACCTCCCGTCGCAGGGATTCAAACTGGTCCGGTTTCCATCATACAACAGCATCACACAAGGCGGTTGTGTCCGGTAGGGTGTAGTCCAATTCCAGCAATTGTAAAGAAGTTGAAGGGTACAGCGGAATAGCTTATGGTAGGGTAGGGTGGAGTGACAGCGTATGTCAAAGTGGGGTAGGGCAGGGTTGGAAGTGGGGGTTGAGGCGCCCTCTCAGAGGCTTCCTTGGTTACGCATCACGCCACCTGGAAAATCAATAGTCAAGCCCCGTACGTATAAAAATGGTAGGCAATCGAGTTGCCGAAAATCAATATACTTGTGCCAAGGCTTACGCGGGAGTCGTGCGCTTCGCCAGCAGAGCTCCCCTTACACTACTTTCAATGTTAAATGAAAACGTCCGAGGGAGCCGCACTTCGATCTGCCAGGAGCAGCGCGGGCCCTCGCGTTGCTCAGTCCTCGGCGCGCAGTATCAGGACCGCAGCCGCTGTCGGAGTCGAAGTCGAGTGGGGAGGCGGAGTGGGAGTCGGGAGTCGGAACCCGGCAGGCCGGGTCTCGTGCCGCGCAGCGCGCCACGCCGACCCACCTCGCCGAGCGGGGAACGCGGGGAGGGGGGCTGGGAACGAAACGGAGGGGGCGAGGAGAGTTCGTATGAGGTACGGGCGCGGGCGGGGAGGGGCACGGCACATGGAGACGCAGAGCGAGAGAACGGGGGAAGAGCACGTACCGCGACACCATGGGCCGGGCTGGCACGGCACTCCTCCGACCCGAACTACGCGCCGCCGTGAGCTACCGCCTTTACACTTACCATCAGCTTTTCTCTGTCCAGATGCAGCAAATCTGAGCCCTTGATGTCCTTCGATTTGAAGACGTCAGCGTATCTATATAAGTTAAGGGCTGCCATCCACTCCACGACGTTAGCCGACGTCCAATCGCTGATCGGCTGAAACACAGGAAGACTCTTTCAGAAATCGTTCAATATCGAACAAGCGGCGGGGCGGTCCAAAATGGGACTCACGTACATAGCAACAAGTTTCAGCTCAACAAAGGGACGCTACGCATTCAGGTCGACGCCGCAATGCATATAAAGATGTCAATTTAAATATCCTCGCTTGAGGTTTAAAATTGGAATTCCAGATAAACTCTCCCAAGGCCACCATTTTAAGCTCTCGAGCATGCATCACAAGCAATTCGAATGAGGGAGCATACATTAGTTTTTATTTACACAATGCCGAAGAAGCTGGGAGTGGCCCAGCAACAACTTCTATCCGCGGCCCAAATGCCGCGTCGGCTGCGATTGGGCGCCTGTTCCGCCAATGACAAGAGAGCTCGCCGCCTGGCCAGGCAGCACGGCACAGCGCAGACAGCGCGCGGCGTTGCCACGTACAGGCTGGTGGCCTGACCTCAAAGTGGAACACAACCTTGCTGCACGCATTCAAAATACACTGCCGGCAATCGCGATGACCCGAAGACTTTTTTCATCATGAAATCCACTACACGCATTGTTAATTCTATTTCCGCGACTTAATTCTGCAACGTGCGTTACTTGCTTTCTCGTTCCCGGACTGTTGTATTCTCGCGAAAACCTTTCGCGCATTTTCACAACTAGACCTATTAACATCCACGTGTGCTACGACGAAACTGGGAGTTGTAGAGAGCGGCCGGCGTCGGGCGATTCCCTACGCCGAAGGCCATCTGTTCAACTGCTAGCGCGGCAACGCGACATCGTCCAGGGCCGAGCGGCTTAACCCTCCGAAAGTTAATGCGATGGCTCCAGAGACGAGAGTAGGGCGGCAAAGGAAACAATTACATTTCTACACAGTGTTTCCACGCCCACCTCTACAAAACCCTTATTCCCTGCAGTTGTGGATGCGCCTTTCATGTGCGCGTGGGAGCTCAACTGAAAGGCGTTCAGCTCGTGAATGGACGGACATGCATTAGTTACAGCCGTAATTCGGCTCGACACGTAAGTACTTCACTCGTCGTTCGACTCCTGTAACGATAGTGAAGTAAAAAGATATGTAGTCGAACGACTTTTCAAACAAAACTGCGTTCGAACGAACGCGCACTGGCGCCTGGCGCGCGGCACAGCGCAGTGGGCGCGGCGCTGCGCAGCGTGGCGAGGCGAAGCGAGGGGAGGGGAGGGGAGAGGACGGGAGGAGAGAAGAGAAGAGAAGAGAAGAGGCACGGGGGAAGCGGAGCCCCAAGTCAACCGCACCTCGCCATCTCGCCCGCGCCGCACCGGGGGCTCGGCCACGTACCCTCCCCCTCTTATCGGGACGACCGCTGTAGTTATGATAGCTCTTACTCACCATTCAATCATGCAAAAACTAACGAATGTGAAACAGTGGCATTCATGCAAGATCCCCGAGGCGAAAAATAGGCATATTCCTTTACCTGTTATAAGAGGGAAAAATTGATGGTATGTCAGGAATAATATTGTGATAGATACAACTACTCTTAAGCCAATCCCGTTACAGCAAAAATATTACAAGCAAAAACGCAAAAAGACGTCATGCTTCGTAATTAAAATACCGTAGCGCGATATTATTCGTGTGGTGTTCGTAGGTGTCAGTACCACCATTGTGCCAATATTAATAATAGCTTCGTACGTTTAGTATAAAGACAAAAGGATTCATGGAATGAGAGACATAGGGAGGCCGGGATGTTGCAGCGCAAGAAATGTAGGAGCCGTGGAGAAGTTGATGAGAAACGGCGTAGGTCGAAGAGCATGACGGGAGGAGATGGGCACGGGCGAAAAAGGCCGCGGGTATACGCGGGCGAAAAAGGACCGAAAAGGGTAAGAATTGGAGTGTGTTGAATGCTTTCGAGTAGCGCGCACTCACAACGACCCAGCCCGTCCCCACTCCAGCTCGCACTGCCGCACCACGGGCTTCAAGAGGATACGTGAAAAAAACTATGAGACCCTCGCGAGCGCAGAGGAGAAAGTCAGGGCAGCGGCGGTGACGGCAATGGGAGCGGGCGTGAAGGGGAGGGTGGCAGGCAGGAGCGGGAGCGAGCGGACGTGAGTGAGCCAGCGGTCGGGGTCAGTTGGATGGGTGTACGGGTGGGAGCAGGCGGGTAGGCAGAGTGCGTGGGTGGGAGGCAGGGGGTCGCGGGAGGCAAC